TGCTTTTTTTAAACCCTACCTCATTTTGAGTGTGCCTTTCTGCCCTCACTTCCTTTCATGTGCTCTTTTGAGCCACCATCTCTTAGGTAGCGTGCTTTTTTTAAACCCTACCTCATTTTGAGTGTGCCTTTCTGCCCTCACTTCCTTTTAAGTGCTCTTTTGAGCCATCATTTCTCGGGTAGCGAGTTTTCTGACCCTACCTCATTTTAAGTGTGCCTTTGTGCCCTCACTTCGATGGTTTCACCAATATTTAAGTACTTCAATACCTATTTTCCCTAAAAAAAGAGAAATAACCTTGCATGAAATCTTCAAACTTTGACTTAGAGGAGCTAAATTGCTAATATAAAAACTTGGATGACGGTTTAGAAGCTTCGAAATGTAATTTGGACTCATTTCTTCATGAAACCTGATTGCTGACAGAATTCATTTGTCATCTTTGAAAAATCATATCTCCCTCATCTGACATCGTTTTTGGATGAAATTTGGAGCATTATAGTCCTTTGAGTCAGGAATCCAAAAACATTTAGTTTGCATAAATTGGACTTCTATAGCTTCATATATTGAATTTTGAATAGATAAAGGTCAACAGTGGCAGAATGCGAGATTTGATTTGAAGGATGTGATTTCCATGATCTTCCTCTTTTTATTTTTCTTGCATTACATTTCCAGAAAGGTATGGATGTTAGCTTTTTATTGCCACTGGAATCACTTCATTTCGATCTCTAGAACTCACGCTCTACACAAAATATTGACTGAACGTCAAATCTGCCAATTATCTCCAATTTACTCCATAAAACAAAGAATATCAAGGCATTTTACATATAAAACATGGACAAAACATTAGGTAAATATGGGTGAAACTATCGAATAATATGGTTACATCAAATACCCCCTACCTCCCTTTTTAGTGCGCCTTTGTGCCCTCACCTTTTAGGTAGTGTGTTTTCCAACCCTACCTCCTTTTGAGTGCGTCTTAGAGCCCTCGACCATGTTAGGTAGTGTGTTTTCTAACCCTGCCTCCCTTCTAAGTGCGCCTTAGAGCACTCGACCACTTTAGGTTGTGTGTTTTCCAACCCTACCTCCCTTTTGAGTGTGCCTTAAAGCATTCAACCACTTTAGGTAGTGTGTTTTCCAACCTTACCTCCTCTTTGAGTGCGCCTTAGAGCACTTGACCACCTTAGGTATTATGCTTTCCAACCCTACCTCCCTTTTAAGTGCGCCTTTGTGCCCTCACCTTTTAGGTAGTGTGTTTTCCAACCCTACCTCCCTTTTTAGTGCACCTTTGTGCCCTTACCTCTTAGGTAGTGTGTTTTCTAACCTGCCTCCTTTCTTAGTGCGCCTTCGAGCCTTAACCTCTTAGGTAGTGTGCTTTCTAACCCTACCTCCTTTTTATCTCCCTTTTAGTGCGCCTTTGAGCCCACACCTCTTAGGTAGTGTGTTTTCCAACCTTGCCTCCTTTTAGTGCGCCTTCGAGCCCTCACCTCTTGGGTAGTGTGTTTTCTAACCCCACCTCCTTTTTATCTCCCTTTTAGTGCGCCTTTGAGCCCACACCTCTTAGGTAGTGTGTTTTCCAACCCTGCCTCCTTTTAGTGTGCCTTGGAGCCTTCACCTTTTAGGTAGTGTGTTTTCAAACCCTGCCACCCTTTTTAGTGCGCCTTTAAGCCCACACCTTTTAGGTAGTGTGTTTTCCAACCCTACCTCTTTTTAGTGCGCCTTTGAGCCCTCACCTCTTAGGTAGTGTGTTTTCCAACCATGCCTCCCTTTTTAGTGCGCCTTCGAGCCCTCACCTTTTAAGGAGTGTGTTCTCCTACCTTACCTTCCTATTTTAGTGCGCCTTCAGGCCCCTACCTTTTAGGTAGTGTATTTTCCAACCCTACCTCCCTTTTTAGTGCGCTTTTGGGCCCTCACCTCTTAAGTAGTGTGTTTTCCAATGCTGCCTCCTTTCTTAATGCGCCGTCGAGCCCTCACCTCTTAGGTAGTGTGTTTTCCAACCCTACCTCCCTTTTTAGTGCGCCTTCGAGCCTTAACCTCTTAGGTAGTGTGTTTCCCAACCCTACTTCTCCTTTTAGTGCGCCTTTGAGCAATCACCTCTTAGGTAGTGTATTTTCCAACCCTACCTCCTTTTTTAGTGCGCCTTTGTGCCCTCACCTCTTAGGTAGTGTGTTTTCCAACCCTGCCTTCTTTCTTAGGTAGTGTGTTTTCCAACCCTGCCTCCTTTCTTAGGTAGTGTGTTTTCCAACCCTACCTCCTTTTAGTGCGCCTTCGAGCCCTCACCTTTTAGGTAGTGTGTTTTCCAACCCTGCCTCCTTTCTTGGCGCGCCTTCGAGCCTTAACCTCTTAGGTAGTGTATTTTTTAACCCTGCCACCCTTTTTAGTGTGCGTTTGAGCCCACACCTCTTAGGTAGTGTGTTTTCCAACCTTGCCTCTTTTTTAGTGTGCCTTTGAGCCCTCACCTCTTAGGTAGTGTGTTTTTCAACCCTACCTCCCTTTTTAGTGCGCTTTCAAGCCCTCACCTCTTAGGTAGTGTGTTTTCCAACCCTACCTCCCTTTTGAGTGTGTCTTTGAGCACTCACCTTTTAGGTAGTGCGTTTTCTAACCTTACCTCCTTTCAAGTGCGTTTTTTAACATTCGTTCCTTTTCGAGTCCTATCTCTTTTTGAATACTCTATCAAGCTTTCATTGTATGAATAGTGCACCTTTGAGTCTCATCATGTTGTCTCTTGAAGACATTTCATTGTTTTAACTTGGGTTGGTTATTCATCATAATCAGACCTCTCTGAAACCATTGTGAGAAATCTTCGCATTTCTCACCACTTTGAAAAATCTTCATGTTTTTCACCCGGGTAGGTTGCCCATTACAACAAGACCACTTTTGAAAAATCTTTGTATTTTTCACCACTTTGAGAAATCTTTGCATTTCTCACCACTTTGAAAAATCTCTACATTTTTCACCTCTTTGAAACATCTTCGTGTTTTTCACCCGGGCAGGTTGCCCATTACAACAAGATCACTTTTAAAAAATCTTTGTATTTTTCACCACTTCAAAAAATCTCTGCATTTTTCACCTCTTCACCACTTTGAGAAATCTTCGCATTTCTCACCACATTAAAGAATCTTTGTATTTTTCACCACTTTGAAACATCTTTGTATTTTTCACTTGAGTAGATCACCCATTACAATGAGACCATCTCAAAAAAATTTCGTTGGGTAGGTCACCCATGACAATTTGACTATTTTAAAATCTTTGAATTTTACAAAAAAAAACTCTTCCAATTTTTACTCTGAGTACGCTTTCTAGCCCTCAAGAGGATTCATCATTTCTCAACAAGATGAGTCAATCATATCTCATCCTTTTTTTCTTCTTTACAACGCTTACTATCTAAAGTCTCTTACGTGACTTTCTATCATAAGCATTGTAAAGAGGGGGGCAACTGTCATAACCCAATT